ACTGGAGACTTGTCAGCAAGTGAGGGGTTGGGCCACCAGCAGGGGCCGCCCCTAGGCTGTCTTGTCTTTTTAGTTATGTGCCTAGCGTCCTACTCCTGCAGGTGGCGATATACCCTACCATTCAGGATCTACGATCTGTTGCCCTGTGTCCTTCAATGAACGGGAGAGAAAAAATCTAAACTGGGCAAGACAGTATCTGGAGCAGTTGTCTATAGTAACCAGTTTCTCTCCAGTTTGTTCAGCTCAGATTTGAAAACAAAAGAGACGCCGATTGGTTGCCATGCACGGCTACTTCAGATTCTGTGTGCTCCAGTTTTGATAAATTCCCCTCAGAGATTAGATCAGCTGTTTTTGAATAAAGGCTAAACCTTTAAAAAAAATAAAATTCTTCAGAACACAAACCTCCGAGTCTGGAAAAAAAAATTCTGTTAAAAGGAGAACTATGAGGCGAGTGAAAATCACTCAGCCTCATAGTTCTAGCCGACCTATGACAATGAGACTGTCACACGTCGCCTCAATAGATCAGGAAGTGAGCGAACACATAGCATTGCTCGCACCTCGATCCTGTCCCTGCAGAGAGCCGTGACTGTCACCCACAGCTCCCTGCAGGGATTCCCCCCTCCTCTGTCCGATCCTCCAGCGATGACTGGCGGAATGGACGGGGAGGGGGCAGGTACAGCTGGCTCTGCCTCTCGATAGGCAGAGCCAGCAGTTACTCACGCAGCTGGGTGGATCCAGACAGTAATGTCGGGATCCGTCCAATGTTTCTCTAATTTTTTTTTAAATATTTATTTTTCTCCCTTTTTAGGACCCTTACTGGCCGTTTTTGCAGGCCACCGGCCGGGTCAGTCTCCCCTGTGCTGTAGCCCCTGCTCCATGGGGTTAAATACTCCAAACCCAGGGTGTCCAACCGTCGGCTGCTTTGCTGGATTCTCTTTGTATCAGCCATTCCTTCCTCTTAGGGCCAAGCGACCGTACTCCTCACTTTCTTATCACCTCGCTGTGCTGATTGGGGCAGGTCGGCGCTGCTGAGCTCCGCCCACGCAATTTCATTGGCTGCAGCTGGTTCTAGGCTGGGTAAGTATGCTCGTCTGCGCAGGCGTGGCGTCAGCGCTTGCGTAGTAGCTTTGGGGATTTCCAAGATGGCGCCCATTGACGGCTCGCAGTCAGACGCCTCCGATACAGGTGAACCCCCTTGTCTCTCGGGCTTTGACTTAGTCTTGTGGACCCCTTCATTACGGCAGTTAAAGAAGCTATTGACTGGGAGGATCCTGTTGTGGAACCTGCCAAATTAAGGCGGTACTTTCCACATTTGAAGAAATCCACAGCCACTTTTCCTTACATGGATGAGATAAAAACTCATTTTGGAGGAATGGAAGCGAGCGCAAAAGGCACCAAATGTGAACAATCGCATTTCAAAGCTGTACCCATTTAGTGAGGCAGACGCACCTAACCTCAATTCTCCTCCTTTGGTGGACGCAGTAGTAATGCGCCTAGCAAGGCATATTACCCTACCCATAGAGGATGCGGTCTCTTTTAAAGAACCCCTGGATCGGAAGGCAGACGCGTGTTCGTGGAGTACATCCTCACTTTAAATCGGAAAAGGCGCAATCACAGAAGTTCCTCTGCAGGAACGCTACTCAGGCTTCTACTCTCCCATGTTTCCTGTAAAAAAGAAGACTGCAACCTGCGGCCCGTCCTCGACTTAAAAGATCTCAACAGGCGAATTCAAGTGCCCTCCTTCCGTATGGAATCACTGCAGTCGATTCTCCCAGCCGTTCGGGTAGGATTGGATGACGTCAGTCGACCTTTCGACCTTTCGGATCCTTATTTCCACATCCCCATCCAAGTTCCAAAGGTATCTACGGTTTGCAGTAAGGGGTTCACACTTACAATTTGTGTGCCTTCCCTTCGGCATTTCTACGGCACCCCACACCTTCACAAAGCTTCTGCTTCCACTCATTGCTCACATCCGGCTGCAGGGCATATGTGTGTTTCATTATTTGGACGACATCCTTCTTCTGTCCCAATCATCCTCGACTCTTGTGCTCCATCAGCAGCTGGCTCTTACTCTACTTCAGCGTTTGGGTTGGTTGATCAACTACGAGAAGTCCCAGTTGCAACCTTCCCAACAACTAGTATTCCTGGGAGCTCTTCTCGACAACCAACGGAACTCCATCTCACTCCATCTTGGAAGTGCGAGCGGCCTTCAAGGGTCTCCTTACCTTCTCCAAGATCATCCAACACCGTTCTGTTCAACTACGAATCGACAACCGGACAGCGGTCGCTTACATTCAGCATCAGAGGGGCATCCACAGTCGCTTTATGCTGCTGGAGCTCGAGCCAATAATGCATTGGGCACAGGTTCACCTGCGGCATCTCTCTGAGGTCTACCTTCCCGGCAATCAGAACAGCCTTGCCGACCTACTGTGCAGGTCGACGGTCGATCCGCACGAATGGGAGTTGAATCCGGCAATCTTCGACATGGTAACGGAGTGTTGGGGTGTGCCTCAAATCGACCTGTTCGCAACCCCCAACAACAGCAAGACCACTCTATTCGTGACGAGGTTTCCATGCAACCAGGCAGTGGCGACGGATGCTCTGACCTGCCCGTGGTCCTTCACTCGGGGATATGCCTTCCCACCCTATCCTCTAATACCGAGGTTTCTCCAGCGGGTGGCTGCATTTCCGGGGGTGATACTAGCGATCATGCCATATTGGCCCATGCGGCCCTCCGCTGCTGCAATTGAGCATGGAACCTCCGCTCCCGCTTCCCGATCGCCACGATCTACTCCTGCAGGGCCCTTTCCTGCACCCAGCACCCAAGACGCTTCAGCTCATGGCTTGGAGGTTGAGTGGGACCGGTTCTCCGACTTGGGATGCTCCCATGCGGTGATTTCCACGTTGTTGAAGGCAAGGAAACTCTCAACCAACGCTACTTACCGAAGAGTTTGGGACAAGAGATTGCTGTGGCGGTGGCAGCCGGCGGGTTTGACGTCCGTACTCCAACGGTGAATCATGTCCTGGATTTCCTCCAGTCCGGTCTGGACAAGAGCCTCAGCTGGAACTCTCTTCGGGTTCAGGTTTCGGCCATTTCAGCGCTGTCAGGGTCCAGATGGGCCTTGGATCCCTTGGTCGTGCGCTTCCTGAAGGGCTGTTTGAAGATTCATCCTCCCGTGAGATCGCTGTTCCCGCAATGGGATCTGTCACTTGTGCTTGACGTGCTCCAACATTCTCTATTCCATCCGCATCCTACGATGTCTCTTTGGGATCTCCCCCTCAAGACAACCTTTCTCCTGGCAATTATGTCCGCTAAACGGGTATCTGAGTTGCAGGCTCTGGCTGCCACAGTGCCATTCTGCACTTTTTTCCCGGACAGAGTCGTGCTGAGGACGCATCCCTCCTTCCTTCCGAAGTTTACCACCTCATTCCACCTCAATCAGGAGATCGTCCTACCTGCACTTACAAATCCTGACGGGGAGCGTCATGCGCTAGACGTAGCCAGCACGCTACAAGAATACTTGCGTGTGACGCAGCCCTTTCGTGTGGTGGATAACCTCCTCGTCCTTCCCTGGGGATGCAAGAAAGGTAACGCAGCCTCTGTGCGTACCATCGTGTCCTGGTTGGGTAAGCTCATCCGGAAAGCGTACTCCATTAAGGGTCTTCAACCTCCTGAGGAGATAAGGGCTCATTCCACGAGAGGTATGGCAGCCTCCTGGGAGGCATTCGCTCACGTCTCGGCCCGAAACGATCTGCAGGGCCGCTTCCTGGTCATCCCGGAATACCTTTATGAGTCACTACCGGGTGGACCCGGCACTGCTCACCACTGTTAACTTTGGGAGGAGTGTACTTGTTTCTGGTTGCTCTAACCTTTAATAAATTATTTTGGCATTACCCTCCCTGTGTGATCACTAAATCCCATGGTGTGCTGCCGAGATGCCCCAGGAAAACGGAAAATTGTATACTTACCTATCCGTTATTTTCCTTTCCTGGTGCATCGAGGGCAGCACACCACTCTTACCCTCCCTGCCATGGCTCGGACTCTTAACTAGAATGAGCGTGGCTTGGAGGAGCCTTAATTTATCACGTGTCCTGTGGGTTAAGAGGGGCGGATCTTAACCCATGGTGTGCTGCCCTCGATGCACAAGGAAAGGAAAAATTACGGAAGGTAAGTATACAATTTTCCGTTATACTGAGCTTTGGGTGACGGCAGGACGCTAGTTTGTGTCTTCCCGTTAGCCTTAGGAGAACTATGGGGAAAAGCCCTAACCCCATAGTTCCCATTTAAGGTAAACGGTTCATTGCAAGCAATTTTATTGTTCTCACCAAACTGGCATTCTATTTTAATCACTTCAATACCGACATGTTACAGCCTCTTCCTTTCCAGGCCATTTTTATAGTGCTATGCTAGTATGACTGACAATTACTGAGTCCTGCAACAGTTTAGCCAAATAACTTCTAGCTCATTCTTTTTGAGACAAATAGAGCTTTCTTTGGATGGCACTTAATAACCACTGGGCTTTGTTAATTTGTAACTATATATATAAAAAAAAAAACTGTTACACTTATTTTATGTTATAAAACGTACCAAATAAATAGTCTCTCAATTAATTTAGACCAAAAACTATTTTATATGAAGGGATGGGGTGGAGGGAGGTAAATGCAGGTGATCAGCTGGTATTGGCATCAGTTTTTATATATTTTCTGAGGGGGGGGGGGAATCTGAAGAATGCATACTGCCATCTACATGGTTTTTCCTGTACTGGTAGGTTACATGAAGGCTCAGGGTGGATAATGAGTAACTCTCTTCTGTGTAAAGTACCTATTTTTCAAGATACTGTGAATACAATATTTACATTTTAGCCTGGTGCTTTAAAAACCTTTTTAATATTTTCACCAAAAAATACAACTTTTTTACCTTTGGGATAGCAGCTGCTACTGGTCCAATGTAAGCTATTAACAGGGGAAGCAGCATAGAAAAGAGACTGGAGGAACTAAGCAGTTCTGGAATGTCATCAGCTATTAAGATAAAAAAAGAAAAAACAAAAAGATGAATACAATTATTATACAGAATTTATATAGCACGAACAGTTTTGGCAGCGCTTTACAATATAAGGAAGACATTACCAATCACAATACAATTCAAGACACGATGACAGATATTACATCAAACTTAACCTTTATTTAAAAAAAAAAAAAAAGAAGAAGGATGGATAAAAACCATCCATAGATCCACAGGAAATGAACTAGGTCTACAGTTTTTATCAAGTTTTTATCAAGTCATGTCTGATGTTAGCTAAACAAGGCGAGCAGAATGACCCACAGACATCTGTAGCACAGAACATCATCCCTTTGAAAGGTAATATACCAGTCTCAGCTAAACAGTGTTTCAGCGATGTTATACATATATGTGGTAGAGCAAAATCGAAACCCTCATCACTAGCTGTGCTAACCATATACACACAAATTACTACAGATCTCATTACAATTCTCACCATCAACAGCAAGTGCTCTGTGCAGTAGGTCTTTAGCAGCTCTGGTTACAGCATTTACCACCGAGAGGGACCGGCTGCAGTTTTTGTCTTCCTCATTGGCTTTGCTCAAAAGCTGCGACTGCAGGTCTCCATCATATTCACTCCTACAAAACAAAATGATTGCAGTAGACCTCAAAATGTTGATTCCATTGTGAAAAAAAATTATGCCCAGTCACAGTCAAAATTATTCGTTTTAGTAATTTTTGGGGAAGGATTACAGATTAGAGTTTCCTTCAGTCCCTGTTCAGTTTGACACCAATCAAATAAACCGAAAGTGAGGATAACTTTAAACGGCGACATGGCAATAAAAAGTAGACAGACTGTGGCCCAACACCACTGTATTCAAACCTAAAATAATGTATATATGAAATGTATGTTACATGTTAAATACATTTCATAACTTTCTAATTAATACATAATTTTTTTTTTATTTTTTTTTAATATGTGCCCCGAGTTGTCTTAATATAGGTCATACATGACTTTGCACAGTGAAACAAACCTGTAGTATAATACTTGAGGGGTTTGTCCTCTGGTTTGGTTTGTACCATTACTGCTCAAACTGCAGGAGCTGAACGTAAAGGTCACCCCATCAGGGCATTGAACAGTGGTCATTCCACCATCCCCATTAGCTGTGCGACTTCCATAATTCCTCAAACGCACTGCATACTTAGTGTTCTCCTGAAAAACACAACAAAACAAGTCCAGTATTTATCCCAGTAATTTTTGGCTCTGCATTCCAATGCACATGGTATCAGCAAAGAATAAAAACCTCTCCTCTCTATATACCCTCCCAGACAGAGTACAGGAAGTTAATAACTCACAAGAGTCCTGGCAAAACCAAAAAGGAATTTTTTTTAACAGCAAAAACAAAACAAAAAACATTCAATGGTATATTTAGCAAACCGAAAGAGAGCAAATAAGAGAAGTTTGTTGTTAGGGTTTACATATACTATATTTTCGTAAACAGAAGTACCCCCTGAATCCTAAAGCTGTCAAAAAGAGCCTTAGAGGTACACATGCTACTGTACTGTTAGGACTAAAAGGTACTATAAGTACCCTTTAGGATACTTTTGGTTTAGATACTTGTCACAGTAAGGGTTTCTCTGTCTCTGGCCGTGTGAATCAAGGCACTACAGTATACTGCCAGAAAGTGCAACAAACCTTTTACAAGACAGTAAGTTAACAAACAGGCTTTAGGACATTTCATCAATAAAACAAGAAAATCATCAGATAAAGAGCTAGCAGTGTTCAGAGGGTAAGCACCTAATAAGGAACATACCAATACATTAGCATTAAGCTGTTAAAATTTTTTTTAGAAGATTTGATAACCTTCCAGCTTTCAGGAAAGGGCAATATTATATTCAAACCTTTTTTCCCCAATTAAATGACTCTTTACATTAAGCTCCACCCTTGTGTACATTGTGTCTATGGCTGCTGTAACAGCCCATTCACACTGAGCGACATACAACTCGTGCGGATTTCCACACGATCGTAGTAGCGCGATATAGCGCGACTCTTCATGCGACGATGGCACGACCTTTCTTTTTGGGCAGCATGAAAATACAAGCAAAATCGGGCGACATCCGCGCAAAAAGGGGTCCTGCACAAGCGACAGCGACATTGAGCTGCAGAATTGAACAGCTCCATTGAAAATCATAGGACGAGCAAGATCTCGCAATATCGCACGGCAATATGCGCGATTTGCGAGCGGTAATCCGCTCAATGTGAACGGGGACTTAGGAGCATAGGTACCGTATATACTCGAGTATAAGCCGTCCCGAATATAAGCCGAGGTACCTAATTTTAGCAAAAAAAACTGGGAAAAAGTATTGACCCGAATATAAGCCGAGGGTGGGAAATGAGGCAGCTACTGGTAGATAGATACCAATAAAATTACATTAATATTTATTTAAAAGAAAAATAACCTAGCTCTGCAAGTGGAAAAGGGGGTACAGGGCTACATATCATGTACTACGGATCATTTAACCCATTCATATTAGCAGAGGATAATTGTAAATCTATTGTTGCAGTGCACTCTATATGTAGTATATAGTACATGTACATATAGAGTTCCTGCAACAATACATTTACAATGATCCTCTGCTAACATGAATGGGTTAAATGATCCATAGTACAGGGCTACATACAGATCATTTAATACATTCATGTTAGTATAATTGTAAATGTATTGTCTGCACTGTATTAGCAGTATATACTCTATATAGAGTATATACTGCTAATACAGTGCAGACAATACATTTACAATTATACTAACATGAATGTATTAAATGATCTGTATGTAGCCCTGTACTATGGATCATTTAACCCATTCATGTTAGCAGAGGATCATTGTAAATGTATTGTTGCAGGAACTCTATATGTACATGTACTATATACTACATATAGAGTGCACTGCAACAATAGATTTACAATTATCCTCTGCTAATATGAATGGGTTAAATGATCCGTAGTACATGATATGTAGCCCTGTACCCCCTTTTCCACTTGCAGAGCTAGGTTATTTTTCTTTTAAATAAATATTAATGTAATTTTATTGGTATCTATCTACCAGTAGCTGCCTCATTTCCCACCCTCGGCTTATATTCGGGTCAATACTTTTTCCCAGTTTTTTTTGCTAAAATTAGGTACCTCGGCTTATATTCGGGACGGCTTATACTCGAGTATATACGGTAAGTGGTTACGCACAACGCCATTCAAGCGTGTAGATGCCATCTGGATACAAAAGATCTCTTCACAGACATGCATTTCAAACCAGTTGAATGTGTACATTTGTGCCCATAGGAGGAGAGAGCAAGCAAACTAAGTAGCACATGCTTACTTTAGGGGAAGCTAAGACACCTTGATTTAGGGATTCTATGTTAGTGTCAAAGAGTGGAAATATTGCATCGCTGCTTGAATTTATCACAACTGGCCAGTTTGAGAGAAGTTCTTATTTCTGTGAGTCTTTGAGGTGACGAATTATATTTAAACTTATAATACCCAACCCATTCAAAGTAGTATGAGAGATGGCTTTTTCCAAATCCTTCATTTGTGGAAGTGCCTCTAAAGCAGGTACTTCCCTTACCTTTCTCTGACACTGAAAGTCACACACCTTTCTGTTTTTGAGAAACACACCAAAACTATTTATACTAGGCATTTTTTTAAAGGAGTGATCAGCATGCATGGTAATTTTCACTGTACACAGCAAAAAAACCTTCTGCCATGTGATTTTCTGAACAGTCAGTCAAAAACAGCTAAAGAAAACCAATCACCAATAATAGAACATGTTTACCTTTAGTGGCACGGCTTTGTCCAGCCTAATTTCAGCAATATCACTTGGTGAATCATCTGTGGTGTAAGTGCCCTTCACAAGCTCAAGTGATGTCCATCTATGAGAGTGGCCTGCATCAGCAGAATGGTCACTCTAAAAGAAATTGAAAGGCCAAAAGGTTAGAATAAAAACAATTACATAGTTATGTGCAAAATAAAATGTCTGCATCGCTTTTTACTTTCAGTGCTGCAAGAATCATTTTTACCTGAAACCACAAGACCCGAGTGTTCTACTGCTGTAAAGAAATTCATATTTAGGAGGCAATGAATGTGCTGTTCACCAAACATTTACTGCAGGTGAATCTTCCTGGTGTGTTTTTTAGCTTACAATGATTGATTTACCTGCAGTGAATGTTTTGTGAATGTGACATTCACTGCTTTATAAATATGTCCCTTATCTAAATTTATGCCTAGAAGACCATCTTCAGTCCATCCACCTGCACGATTATGTACCTTCTATAAGAGCAGCACCTTAATATAAGTATTGAGGGTAGAAACAACATCTTCAGTATACCTTCCTTATAAGACTCAAATCAAGGGTTTATGGTTTAGAATTCTGCAGCAAAGGGGAAAAAAGTGCTTTGCTCATAATGACGCATGAGCGCAATGACGCAAAGTGTGCATTGCAATTGGTTATGCACGTTCTGGCCATTTACATCACCGTGTTACAATTTGCTCATAAAACAGCATGACTTACTGCATGTGCGATTTACGTGTCTAAAAACACGCAACAGACAAGGAACAGATATTTCAACACCATGATGTTCATACTGCTTCCAAAATCAAGTGAATTGTCATTATGATTGTGAAATCATTAGACATTGTTTCATTTAAACCTACATCATCTACCAGAACTTCCAGCTCATACTCGTGGATTCCACCTCCTCCATAGACACAGAATCCGACAACGACAACCCCAAGTTTGTCAACCGAGAAGCAGATTGCATCAGGAGATCCATTCCCAGTATTCCAACTTCTACCTTGGCTTGTTTTCGTGAAGCGATTAGGACTGGACTTGACTGAATGGAGAGAATTTAAGCCATCGACCTGACATTAAGAAAAAGATATGACACATAAATCATTGTATATACCTCAGACATGAATTACACTTATTTTTAGGATATAACTAATTGAGGATACAGTATAATTATTTCTAACTGTAAGGGGCTATCTGGCAATTTATGGGTTTAAATAAAAGGAAAACAACCAAGTGTGTGATTGAAATGGAATTTAACATCCATTGTTGGCAAATACCCCATTATAATCATTGCCTACACATGTTGTGGTGTGACAGCCTTCAGTGCCAATTGGTAAAAAAAATGACATAGAATGAACATGAAGCATGTGGCCACCCTGGAGTCTTACTCCCCACATAGATACATGTAATAAAACTTCTCCACATCAGTCTGTGTGCTTCAGAGGTGCAACTATTATGGCAAAAAAAAAGTCACTGAAGTTGCTCTAGCATCTCTACAATATATGTTTTATCTTCACAGTTAATTCACTTGTATATGGCAGAAAGTACAGCTATTACTATATTTCCAATGCTCCATCTATGAGAGCTGCAGCCTTCATATACAGAAGCCATAGGGTCATTTACCCCATCCCTCCTCTCCACTTGTCCATTCACAGAATGCCCTGTATTTTATTATGGTTCACAGAATACAAGACATTCTGTGCATGGACAAGTGGAGCGGAGGAGCGGCTCCTGTCTAGAGTTAATCTTTGCTTTACAATTAAACATTTTTAAAGGCATGTTTGTGCCTGGAGTTGCAATTAAAACAAAAAGGCCTTGTATATGCAAGGACCACTATAACAAAGGAGTAGATCAGTTATCAAAGTATTATATGATAAATAGCAAATACATTTACCTCCGATCCAAGAGCAGATGCTGTCAGTTCACTGACAATACTAGCCAGGAGACCACATGTGTTGGATACCAGGTGTGAAGAAAAGAGTTCATATTCCCTGCGTAAGCTGTTCCTTACAGGCAGCACAACAATGACTAACATCTTTTCCAGAACCTCCCGGAAGCTGGTCATTCCAGAAACATTCTCCTCGCTCTAAAAAAAAACAAACAAAACAATACTACTTCCCATGAGCAAGTGTAGATGTATTAGGGTAGCCCCCAGCCAGTTAGTGCCACTGAGGATGAGGAAGAATTACCTTGACAAACAGAAAATGCATCTGCATTTCAGGCACATCGACTTCCTGGCTAGTGGGATTTTGTGAGTTCTAAATAATTTATATGCACATAATATTAGACAGAGTGATAGTTGATTGTTATTATATGATGAAAACGCATGTGCAAAATGTAAGGAATATTGGAAGAGTCAGAGAAAAGGATGATATAGGGAAAGAGTTACAGAAAGAGAGATGATACAAAGACAGATAAATTAAAGAGAGTGTGAAGAACAAAAAAAAAAAAAGAAGAGCAAAAGAGTTGGGCAGAGAGACAGAAGTATGATAAGTCTATTACAAGCTATGGTAGAAGCTTTGGTACAGATCCCGCCCCAGGAGAGGGTATGATAGAACTGAACGGCCACGTTTTTGAACCAAAAACAAGATCTACCGTTCCTCTGTGTTCTAGGTGCTTCATGCCTGCACACAAATATGCTGTAATCTCACATTCATTACAGCCAACCAGGATAAAACCTCCATGGACACCACACCATTCTACAAGAAGCAGTTACTTCCTTCATGCATTAGTTTTTTTGACAACTCACACAAATACTGGGCCCTTCATATCAACCAGAAAGTCATCTGACTGCCGCAGTTCCTCCAGCTGCCTTCCAGCTCCTGGATGCTCGTTGTACTCCCCCCCCTTATTCCCAACTGAATACCGAGAGCGCAAAGCCAGATTGCAGGGCTCCTGGCACAATAATTGTGGGTAAACATTTGCCCATCTGTGGGGTTCTGTGAACGCTATTCACACTATAGCATTGTTTTAATCCCACAACGCCATGCCAATAATGCATGCTATCACATAGCCCACCTAGTGTGCATTACCATGTGCTTGTTACGTTGCCATTCATTTGAACGGCACTCCAATGCACATCCCAGCTGCCATGCATCCTGCTCCTTCAACTCTTTTCGCCACTACAGTTTAAATCGACTGTCAATCTGAATTCTTAGAAAAACGAACATATGTTCCAAAAACAATTTTTTTCTAACAAAATTCTACTGGCCAGCTTTAGTCAACCTGATACAACTCCAGCGCAATCTCTATTTCTGCTCTTTAGTTTAACCAGTTGACATCCGCGGTGTTAAACCCCCTTCCCATCCGGGCCATTTTTCAGTATTCAGCGCTGCGGTACTTTAACTGACAATGCTCACTTGTGACTATGCCTACAAATTAGCTCATCAATAACATGGTGCCAGAGGATTTGGAATTGGCAGAGAAAGAGTTTTAATCATCCAAGAAAGTTACAGATTTCTATCTAAAGCCAAGTCAAAACTGTGGACAGATCTTGAGTGTATGCTCGTTTCTAAGACAACAATTAACCCATTAACCAAATGCAGCAAACTAAAAGGATCTGTCCCATACATTTGTTTAGTGCATTTTAAAGGGCATCTACTCCACCACTGGATTAGCGTGAATACCTGCCTTTGTCTCAAATCACTTAGCCATCGATTAGACCTCTTGTTCAATCCATTTTGGGGCAATAAACTATCGGGGAGATGAAAAACATCAGTACTACCCTAAGTAAAAGTTTTATACTGATCTGTCCAGTGGCACATTTGTGGAAAGCTCCATAGCAGAGCTCCCAGCACCAACACTGTTTGACTTGTAGGGATGGTCAAACAGCGAGCCCTCCCAATGGCCACTCCTCCTGACGCCTGGTAACTGCAAGTTGCATCAGTGATGCAGGATTGTGGGGAGGAACCACAGTGGCCAGTAGAGTGGAACAGGATTGGTGCCAGGAGCTCTGCTACAAAGCCAAACTTCAGCAAATGGGCTGCCAGAGAGGTAAGAAGTTTTTTGGTGGGCTAATGCTATATTAAAAGAGAACGATGGCCAAACCTTTTTTGGCCACAGTTCTCTTTAGGGTCACAAGAAGACATTTACTAATGTCCTCCTGTGACCCAAAATTCAGCATTTAGCAGGTAATTGCCCGCTATATAGTGAGAGCACAAAGCCACGGTGCACCCAGGATGGATCCTGACAATACTGCCGGGTTCCACCCCACTGCCTGACAGCTGGCGCTGCCTCTCTCTCGCCCATCCCTTCAGTCAGCACTGGAGGAACAGAGAGGGGAGGAGAGGGGTGTTGGGGTGGAATCTCTGCTATATGCTGAGAGCGTCGCAGCTGAGACGGATCTTGACAATACTGTCGAGATCCACCCCACTGAGAGCCAGCTACGGGCTCTGCCTATCTAACAACGGGCTCTGCCAATCTAAATACAGAGCCAGCTATGCCCGCCCTCTCCTCCGTCCGTCCCTCCAGTCAGTGCTGGAGGATCAGAGGGGGGAATCCCTGTGGGGAACCGTGACTGACAGTCACCATTCTCTGCAGGGAGTGGATCGGTAAGTCAGCAAATCGGCGGTATGCAATTGCAACCTGGATCAATGTTTTGGGTACATATATGAACTTGGAAAAACCTTGGGTTTTCCTTTTTTCCCCCCAGTAAACCACTTTTGGGGCAGTCTAGTAAGAAAAGGAAATCACCGGAGAGAAATAAAAAAAAAATAAAAAAACATTCCTTGCACAGATTCATAATATAATACCTTATTATCTTGGGTTCTTTTGAGAAAAGCAGACTTCCTTTTAGGACAGCTATTCAATATCTCAGCATTGACCTCTTTTCAAAACTGGAAGGCCATCTGATAAACATCCAAAGGCCATGCCTTCCAAAACTTCCAAGCCATATTGTCCTACTTTATTTGAAATCTAGTTAAGTCCACTCTTGCAAGGGATATTGTTTCCAACAAATATCTCCTCTCAAACTCTTCACCTACAAATGTTATATCTATATATATACACACACACCTACCTACCTATCTATTTTAGTTGTGCCCCATTTCTGCTTGCTAAAAAGGGATGGACGCTTCCTCTCTGCCCTAGATATCTACACCTTGAATGCATTTCTTTCAACAAAACATCTCAGAATGTGCTTGAATATGCACAGCCTCATTTGACTCTTCTTCACTAACACAGAATATGTCCACTGTGTTTCACGGTCTCTTAATAGGTATGGTCTTTTTTCACATTTAAACCGGTTCAAACAATTTAGCATCAGCAAAGGCCTATTGAGGACACTTGCAGGTTCATGGACCATTGTTATATAGAACTTTTGTGTGCATATTGGCTACCATGGAAGGAAGCAGTTTTATTTGCATAGCTCCAAACTCATAAGACTGGGGGCAAGTGGATGCTGTTGGTAGATCTAGAGAAGGGTGTCTTTCAGATCTTCAGTGCCCACTCCTAGAGGTTGGGAACTATGCTCCACCATAAAATACAGTTTGGATCATCAGTTTTTCTCTTAATTATTATGTTACTAACAATGGAGTCCAACTTAAAAGGCCCAATTTCTATCCTCAAGTCAAATGGATGCCCACATCTAAATTAACCTTTTCGAATTGGCCTAGGATGCGCAACACAGGAGTGCAAAGAGTAAGATAGTGGGCAGTATGTGCAGAAGAAGAGTGCCTGTGTAGAGATGTGCTGTAAGCAGGGAGGTTGAAAGGTATGTTGCTTAGGGAGGGACACACTGTAAGGTGGGATGTTGGCTGTGAACGTATCCAGCACATTCCTTTACCTTCCCTCACAGGCAGTTAGTAAGGTTGTTGTGTTGGTGAGTAGTGGTTAAGAGGAAACCAAAATACACTGGTCCAGTTAGTATTTCCAGCCACAATCCTAAGAATTTGAATACGATTACGAGCATATTAGATAACAAGCTGGAGAGCCCCAATTTCTAAGGCAATACATTTATAAATCCAATACTATTGCCAGATGATTTAAAGCTATTTACTTGCATTCCTTTTTTTAGAAAATTTTAAACCGGGAATTTCTGCAGACCTGACTGAGTTTCTCCATTGCTGACACAAGTAGAGGGAAGCGGTGAGCCAGTGCAGTGTCATTTTCTGTGCTGACTTGTTTCACCATGGAGCGAAGTAGGACTTCACCATCATAAGCAATAGGAAAGATGGAAGTAAGCTTCACAGATGTGTGACACAGAGCAGACATAACTGCTGCTAGCAGGCGACTGCTTGAAGTCTTGAAATTTGCTTCCTGGATGTCCTTTAAAAAAAAAAAAAAGAGAACAGTCATTGTGACCCTGTTACCAAAATAAAAATATTCCTGTATTCAAATCACAATGCGTAATTAAAACAATATAGCTGGAAGCAAAGAGAGTACAATATCATACTATATCTAAGAACTTGCAGCATCCAAATCCTGCATTTTGGAACAGACCTCTACCCATAAACTAGACTTAAGTCTTTCTTCCTCTGTATATCTTATACATGCAATTACTAGGGCAGGCACTTAAGAGCACTATGGGCCAACCTTTTTTTGGCCATAGTTCTCTTTAGGATTACAGGAGGACATATACCATGTCCTCCTGTAACCCAAGACTCAGCATATAGCGGGCTATTGCCCACTATATGCTGACAGTGCAGAGCTGAACTTCAGTCGGGGAAAATCCAGACAATATTGTCAGTAGGGCTGCACCAATACCGATACTAGTACCCGGCCAAATCTTCCAATACTTACCACCGATACTGAAACTTCCAGTCAGAGGGCGATTTCCTCTGACAGGCAGTGACGCGATCGAACATGGAGCTGGCTTCCCGGCCAATCAGACAGCGGATAATGACTCGTCACCTGTCTTCCCGATTGTCCAGAAAGCCGGCTCCATGCTGGTTGGCCAGAGATCCAAGTTCCCAGCCAATCAGCATGGAGCCGGCTTCCCGGCCAGTCAGGAAGACGGGCAGCAGGTAATGAACTAGGCTTCTTGATTGCCTAGGAAGCCGGCTCCATGCTGATTGGCCCTGGAAGCCGACTTCCCAACCAATCAAGAAGCCTTGGTCATTACCTGCCACCCTGGTTTCTTGATTGCCTGGGATGCCGGCTCCATGCTAGCGCAAGTACCGGTACTCTATATCGATGAGTACCCAACTATAAAATATCAGTACTTGTACTCGATACCGAAAAACCAGTAATCGGTGCATCCCTAATTGTCAGGATCCACGTCGCTGCCTGATGAGGCAGAGCCAGCTGTGCCCACCCCCTCCATGGTCTGTCCCTCCATTCAGCGCTGAAGGAACAGAGAGGGGGGAATCCCTGCAGGTTAAAGCATGTTATTTAACACATCAGCTATATCACAATGGAAAAAGCTATAGGTTACCTGATCCAAACAGTTGAGCAAGTCGCACAAACATGCCCACTGGAGTGCAGGAGTGGGATAAAAAGAGTGGAAACAAGCTGTAAAGGTGTTATGACACTCTTGCAGTACAGCTTCAAGCAGACTTAATGGCTGGCTGAGATATCCTTGAGGGTCATTATCCAGTTTTGTCATGCAGTTGTCCACACCTTCAGAAAGGATTTTTCTAAGCAATGTCCTGGTTTTTCCAATGCACTCAGCTAGTTTGGTTGTCTCTTCTACAACAGCCTTAGTGGAAGCTAAATTATGCGACAACAATAAGAGATTAGAAATCGGTAAAACGGTGTATTGATACAAATTTGGGCTGTATCGGAGCTCATGTGGTAAACTGAGCAAAACGCAGTAACAAAAGTTAGACATGAAGAGCAAGTGACAAAAAAAACGACGACAGCAGATGTCTCAGTGTTCCTTAGTTGCATTTTTTTCAGCTGTAAACTCTTTCACAAATGCAAAACTGCTCCTCAGTGAAAAGACATATGGAGCATGGAATGATCTTATTAGCAGTGATAAGACAGCTTGACTATAGGAGTGCCAAACGATCTTACAGTTTCCATTAACCCTTTCACTGCCAGGCCCTGCGCTCCATTTTGGACCTCAGCTGGCTAAACCATTTTTACAATTTTTATAATCTTTTTTTTTTTTTACTTACAGCTCGCAGCGTCTGTCTGTAAAAGACCATCTTAAACCACACATTCTCTTAAAAAGCACAGGAGCAATAGAATAAATAGATGGCGCCACTGATTTTGTAGATCCTGTGATAATTGCATTAATTTCATTACAGATTTTTTCTTTGCTAAATATATACTACATGCTACAAAAAAAACAGTAGTGCACAAATACAACATAACTTCCAAAAGTCCAATAAAATTTAAAAGATAAAATTGTATTGAAATAATAAAAATTTGTAAATTTTAAATTGCGAGTTTTTGCGAAAATCAAAAGCATCTAAAACTGTAAATAAGCAACTTATGCTGGTTTCACACATATGCCTTGTGGTAAAGCTCAATCCACAGTGCCATGTGTGCTGCAATAAAATTAACCAATTATTCATTTTGTAGTAACACAGCACGTTACCTGCGGCAACGCTTTGCAATGTTCTGCCACGCACAGCGTGGAATAAAATGTAAAAAAAAGTTTAATAAAAGACAGAATCTAGCACCATATTGTGCACCTCCTGGTGTGAAAACCCCCTTAGTGTGTTGGTGCACCAATACACAAAATGTCACAATATGTGTGGTGCATATGTGTATGTTATGTGTTAACATGGGTTCAAACCTGTGCAAAATCCACGTGTGTTTTACGCCGCTAAAGTACCAAACTAGCACCTATTTTTATTTTATTTTTTAAACGTGCCGCACCAAAAACATGTTACCATGTGTTTTGGCATCCTACAACGCACACAGCAAAATGTGTTGGAAGTGCCATTGAGAATGAATGGCAACGCAGTGTGCCTGCAAGAACACCACAATTTTGTGCATGTTCCCACAGCATACAGATATAACGGTCTAATTTGTTGGTGTGTGTATGTTGGAGGGATGTTCTTTTTTTTATTATTTAAAGGAGAACTATGGGGTCAGGGCTTTTCCCCATAGTTATCCTTAGGGTAACGCGAGCTACAGCTCGTGGTATACTGAGACGGCGCAGCCGGAGCGGATCCCGACATCGATGTCTGGATCCGCCCAGCTGCGTGAGTGACAGCTGGCTCTGCCTATCTAGAGGCAGAGCCAGCTGTACCCGCCCCCTCCCCCGTCCGTTCCCCCAGTCAGCGTTGGCGTATCGGAGCGGGGAAAGGGGAATCCAGCCCCTCCCCTGTCGCGGCAGAGAGCCGTGACAGGATCGAGAGGTGAGCGAACCCGGTATGTGTTCGCTCACCTCCCGATCTACTGAGCCGACCTGTGACAGTCTTATTGTCACAGGTCGGCTAGAACTATGAGGTGAGTGAAAAGCACAGGGGATTTTGGCGAAATATCAGGGGTCACATTTTTTATGAAAAGCTGTGATCAGCGGCCTGTCATTTGCTAAACACAGCTATTCATTTACTCAGGAAAGTCTGGGGAACATTTCTACTATAAGTTCATGATTGCTGAAGTGACCATGAGCCAATACAAGAAGGGGGAATGCAGAGTACTTAAAGCTTATTGAGCCAGCCAGCTGGAAGCAGTTCTTTTCTGATGTAAGCCTTACGTCCTTGATAGCGAAAGGGTTAAAACACGGGACATTCTAACAAAGTATTAACATGGAGCAATGTTTTTTTTTATTCATAAGAAAAGTAGTACCTGCTATAGGGTATATTTCACATGTGTAGACTCTCAACAACCGCAAACAGCAGGTACCCACAAAACGCAGTCTTTCCAAATCCAGTAGAGTCGCTGTGTACTGGAATCCTTTCAGCCCTCTGAGCTCTTCCACCCCAAGAACCAGAGTGGTCCAACTCCAGTGCAAAATGCTCAGTAAGGATTCAAAACATTCCTTGAGGAAGGAAATACTTACAATTAACAAAGGAAACAGAACATTTTAGAAAAAAAAAACCTCTACCTGTACCCTGACAAAATTGCTTTATACACTAAAGGGACAATTTATAACAGAAAGCAGACATTATATTCTCTCCATTACACTGCTCTGCTTAGGGTAACGCACACCAGGATACACATTTTACAGCCCATTTATAAAATGCAGCTGCAATGTAGACCTTGCTGTGCCCTATGGAGGGCTCTCTGCTTAACACTTCAAAGAGAGCTTCAAGACTGGAGCAGAGCCATTTATCTGAATGTGACAGATTATGCTTTCCTCTTGGCTTCTTATTTAATAAACCATCCTATTCATTTTATTGGGAGTCTAAAGCCATCAGAGCACAATGCACATTTGTAAATTCCTTGACTGTGCCTTATAAACATGCGGTAGTTTAATTTTCTTTAAAAGCAAAAGGTATGGACACGGTATGGCCCTATTGCTGCTTTACATTGTGTTTGAAGCTAATTGGCTCTCAAGTACAGGTCACTTTCCAGAGGCCGACAGATCATTAATGGGCACTGGTCCATGTGTTTTTGTCGTGCTGGTGACATCTACATTCAAAGCTGTTCTGTGTGCGGCGCCATCTGCTGTCATTTCAAGCACCCATTTAACTTTTTGGGGGGGATTCCCAGTAAGGAGTGCTACAGGACCTAGGACATTCCCAGAGGCCGATTCGCAAAAAACTGAAGCACCTGTCCAAAACAGCAGACCGAATCTAATCTTTTTAGTGCAGCAAGGAAACAGGTTGTAGAGGTTAACTGATCTTGTACAGATCTACTTCTTTGTTCATCGCTTCTGGGACATAATAGCAAAACCTATAGTGAAGAGGCTGGGAACTTGCTATGCTGGTTTTTACTCTATTTTCCACTCAGTCATTTTTAATTAAAAGTCTTTCATTCTCAGGCCATTCTTAAGGCTGAACCCCAGTGTTGCCCATTTACCTAAACTTGTAGCAAGTCCTCCACTGTGTTGAAACTGAAGACTCTCAATTTCCTGTAAACTTGTATCACCACAATATAATCCTTTGAAGGTCCAGCAGCTATCTTGAGCCCCCCTTCATTTCTTGTCTGAATGACCTCCATCATTCATCACTTCTCCCCCTGATCCATACCATCCTTGGACCCCATCTCAATCAGTCAACTAATCAGCTAAAGTCTGCAGCACCCAGTGACCAACAAGGAGAAGCAGGCACAGCTAAAAGGGATCCAGGGGATGTTTTTTTTTTTTTTTAAATAATTCTTTTGAAACCTTCCCACCAAACTCAGAGCAAAAAGTAGCAGAGAGACCCAGTGATAGCAAAACTGGGTCCCGAAACAAGAATTTCTTGAAAAACACAATTTGTTGTTGAAAAGTTTTACATTTCCTATAGATCGGGAGGGAAGGGGAACAAGGGAAGGTATTGTATATGTACACACTTCAGCTTGGAGGTAAAGCCAAGGCATCATACAGTAAAGGAAAACAAAGCCTTCCCACAGGAACATATGGTTAAAGTTGTATGAGCAGGTTTTCCCCTCTTCATAGCCAGATGATTTTACTGATGAGTCATGAAACTGCTTTAACTGTGTAGCTTTCTACAAGCTATACTGCAAGCTGTAGGAAGGCAAAGGTTACTCACCACTGAAACAGTTCTGGCAAATGAGCGTTTCAAGATATGAACTGGTTCGCTGACTTGCTGCTTTCCTTTAGTGGCACTTCCATCACTTGTAGGCAATCTGCATGAAAACAGATACAACATCTCACTCCAAATGATACTGCTCAGCTTACACAACAAAACAACCTGTAAATACAAATGCACAGCTTACTGCTAAAAAACAAAAGATGATTTACCTGTACAGCAGCTGTGGTATTTGGCCTGCATTGACATCTGTGCCATTATTTGACTTCTTTGAGCTTTTGAACTGAAAAACAACACTAAAAGAGAAAAAGGAAAATGCAGTTGTTAACCAGTTGACATCCGCGGTGTTAAACCCCCTTCCCATCCAGGCCATTTTTCAGTATTCAGCGCTGCGGTACTTTAACTGACATTTATTCCGTCATGCAGCGCTGTACTGAAATGAATTTTATACCCTTTTTTGGGGACAGATAGAGCTTTCTTTTGGTGGTATTTATTCACCACTGGGGGTTTTATTTTTTTACTATATTAAGGAAAAATTACCGAAATTTAAAAAAAAAAAAAACAGTTTCCCCTATATTAAATGATAAAACATTTATTATTACCCAATTTTTTGGTAAAATATAAAAGATGGGGTCACGTCGGGTAAAAAGACACTAAACATGTCAAGCCTTAAAATTGCGTGCGCGCGCGAAACCTCAAAAAACGATAATACCCAAAATTGGCCCTAGGCGACGCTTTAAAAGCTGTTACCGCTCATCAGTTTAGTGTTATCAGTGATTGATGGCCCTAAAATGATTGCTCTCACTGCGACACATGTTGGGTATCGCCGCGCACGCCGGAGTGAGAGCAATAATTCTAGGGCCAGTATTTTGGGGCATCTCTAAATTGATGACCTGTTGGGCTTTTAAAGCGTCTATGGACTTTTTGGGGTACTAGGGTTTTTCGCCGTTTTACGCAATTTGTAACCTCTTCTTTTATATTTCATTTAAAAAAATGGGTATTTTGTTGTGTTTTGGGGCATTTAATTAAATTTTTCACTAAATATTGGGGTTTAATAAGGAGTTGCGCTAATATTGCGCAACATAAAAATTTGCAACTACCACCATTTTATTCTATAGGGTCTTGGCATTCAGAAAATATATAATGTTGGGGGGTTTTAAGTAATTTTAAGGCCTAAAATGTGGAATATAACATGGGTACAAAAAATGAAAAGGCCTGTCATGAAGGGGTTAAAAGGAGAATACTGCATTAATAAATTCCAAATAGGAGTTTGCTGATCATGCACAATACTTCCCCTTTAACTATAATTTTTATAGTTACAAACACCCAATGGATTGCCCAATATGTGCCCAGACTCCCCATCATCAGACTATCAAATAGCTTTGTTTTACTTGAAATATGGATAAGTAGGAATCATACTAAATAATATAGAAGCAGGTAATTGCAAATACACAAGCTAGCTAGACCTCTTCTCTCGCTGATTGGATGATTGACAGGCTTCCTCACCAGTCAGGAGTGACTGGTGAGGAAGCCTGTCATCATCCAATCGGCCAATCAGCGGGAGAAGAGGTCAGAATGGAGCAGATGACTAGGCTGTGACACGGAGTGGCTGAAGCAGACGGAGAAGATGACACGACACAGCATGTTAGTACTGCAGCACTACATGGGGGCTGGGCACAAAAATGTTGTTTAACTACATATAATATTTATAAAGAAATAACTATGTAGAATATAAAAAAAAAAGACATTGAATAATGAAATGAAATGAATATTTAGATCATGCGATTGCTAACGAAGGCTTGTATCCCCCTAGTGGGGAAAATAGATGAGCACATGTCCAGACTCCAGAACAGTGTATTATTGTATAGTGTGGCACAGCTATATCCAATTCTGCATACCTGGCTTTATATTATAAAGTTCTTATAATATAAAGCCAGGTATGCAGAATTGGGTATAGCTGTGCCACACTATACAGTGTTCTGGTCTGGAGTCTCTACATGTGCTCATCTATTTTCCCCACTATGGGGATACAAGCCTTAGTTAGCAATGGCATGATAAATGTTCATTTCATGTTCATGTTCTTCATAATATTAAGAAACTGACCTAAAATCATGATTTTGTATTGCTTTAGAAAAAATGTGACCTGTCCCTTTAAGAAAAAGTATTGGTAATTGGTATCGGTGAGTACTTGAAAAAAAGTATCGGTACTCGGTCTTAAAAAAGTGGTATCGGTGCCTCCCTAATATATATATATTTATTACAGGACGCCAGGAATGGGTCCTGGATGGACGGTATATCCCTCCCTTGTTTAGGTGGTGGTCCCGTTAAGGTCACCTTGTATTCAGGGTTCTTGCAAAGCAGGGTGAGGGGTTTCGGGTTGGACTTGTAAGGGAAACTGCTAGGCAGTCTTCCCAGAGTTGTTAATTATATATGGGTCCCGAAATCGGAAACAGGAAGCCAGTTAGTCTGGCTCTGTGAGGAGTGTTTGGAGCAGGACACATACATGGCTATGTGTGTTATGGTGTGGAATACTGTCTACCGAGACCCTGCTGGGGCACCTGTGTCCATACTGGAATCCTCTGTGAGCAGGCTGGGACTTGGTATACAGGCGCTGAGATGAATCTTGTGTTTGCGGACGATAAGCCCGGTTGATTTTGTCATTCTGCTGAATACAAGCCATTTTTATTTGATAGTTTGAAGAAAAGAATAGAGTTGTATTCTCTGATAAGGGTCATATCCGACCTGAAAGCGCGCGCGCACACACACGGTTCCGCAACGGTATCCGCTCACCCTCTGCTCTGGCTGTGAAACAAGACAGAACACCAGAGCCCCAGTGAGATGAGGCTGTTGGGACCGGTCTAATAGCCAGGCAGGACTGAGGAACAGGCGAGTATTCCTTATTTTTAGACCCTAGACCAGAAGTAATTAACCCTTGTTGTGCGGGAGTAGACACACTGCAACAGTTAATTTAACTGCACGTCCTTAATGAATTAGAAAGCTCTAAAGCTATTGGATCAGCAAGTTAGCTATGCAACTAGCAATTTCAGAAAGAGAGGTCACCAACCGCAGCCTATTTCTCTCAGTTGAGATTAATTTAAAGATAAAATGACTTTTCTGACTATCTGGCTGTGATATCCTAGTTATGACAGTCCCTAGAGGTGCAGACACTAGAATATAGTAGAGTTTTATTTTAGGGTGTATCGATATGGTGCCGAGAACAAAGATCAAAAGAATAAATGAAACATTACCCATCATCTGTTGTTATTGAAGCTTGTCCGTGAGATCCACAGTCGCTGCTAGGTCCAGACACACGAGCCCATGCCACATACCACCAGCCAGCTTGTAGAAGTACAGGCTCATCAAACATCATTGCATATTTCTCTCTAGGGTACAAAACAAAATCAACCGTCAAACAGGCTGCGATTTGTTCATTAGCTTTGACATGTATTCTCAATTAGTTTCACACTATAAGCCGATTAAAAACATAAGCAGCTGATCACAGAAGAGAGTCACTTCCAGTCATCTATGTAAAAGACTCCGTAGAAGGCCTTGAAGGTGCCATTGCTTGATACCTGAGAAGTACAAGGACTGAGTTGTTCTTCAGTGTAAGTACATAAACATCCAACTAACGCAATTGAAAATGACAGCTTCACATGCACTGTAGCTTTCATCATAGAAGAAACCTTTACAATGACATTTAAAGGCTCACATAGCCCACAACACAAGCATTGTATGATAAATATGCTACCTATCTTATATGGCGGACTGCCATATCCTATCAATGTGGTTATATAGTACAGTCCCTGTATAGCTGTCAGTTCTTCAATCATGTTAAATGGGAGATGTACCTGCAGGAGCACACCAGAGTCCTGAGCTGGCATGCCCTCTCCTGCACATTCCTGTTGGCCAGCAACGCTGTCCACCACAGCAATGTTCCAATAGTGGGGTTGAAAGTCGACGCGGACTAGAACTCCACTTTAAGTGGAAGCGTCAAAATGTGCACGATTGTGCTCTATGGGCTTCCTGAGATTCAATCGTGACGAGAAGATGCAGGAGGCTTTTAAGTTCTGGTAACTTGCAAATTTGTAATGAATCTATATTTTATATGGTCTGATAGGTGAAATAAAGATTACTTATAGAGTTCAAAAAATAAAAATAAGAAAATTACCTGGCTGCGCAATCATATGCAAGAACATCAGTTTCAGCAAGAAGGTCTCCGTCTGTTTCATGATCACCTCCATCTGACCCCAATTCAAACAGCTACAGGGAAGGACACATTGAGAAATCATTACAGGAAATTCACCTCTAGGAAAAAGTACTAAGGCCTTGTTCACACCAAGCACGGAGCAGGTGCAGGGCAGATCAGATCAGTTGCAGACCGGATCAAAACTGCGTCCAATGTATTCCAATGGTATCGGTTGCTCCAGTTCACATTGCAGCGTGCCGTTCCAGAGCAGGTGAAAAAACTGCAGCAGGCCCTATTTGACCTGCTCTGGATCTGTAAATGCATTAAAAAATGCATGCAAATGCCTGGAACGCACTGAAAGACCATTTTAGCCAAAAACGCATCTAAAAGACTAGCGTGCGTGTGCAGAAACCTGACCGGATCTGCTCTGCATTTGGTGTGAACAAGGCCTTAAGGCAAAAATACACAAACTTAAAATACCTTTATTTTGGCAGTGTACTCCCCTCTGCCTCCAAAGAGACCCAGCCCTCCAAGTAGGATGTCTGTGTCAGCACTGAATCGAATCGCTTCCACTGAATGTGCCGAGTACCCCCAGCCACCTCCATGGCCTTAAGGACAAAACAGATTTATTTTACACAGCAGCTAAACACAGTGTTTGGTACTTTTACCTTTCTACCGTTAAGTATAGACATAATCATCATACTCTCAAATCGGTTTACAACGCTGTAGTCCTCCTTGGAATAAACTTTCAACACAGACTGAGTTTCCTCTTCAGTACTTGAGACTCCCATTTTCAAGTCCTGCATTGTAGCCAGAGTGTCAAGACAGCCTGAATTTAGGAATAGGATACACAAAAAAAATGTCAGAATTTAAAGAGAATAAATAAGCCTTTTTGCTGAATGACCCAAAACAAATGATCATTTTTACTACATGAATGGAAATTAGATTTTTTTTGTAGTACCACTATTTATGGCAACTGCACAATATTGTAATCAATGCTAAAGGAGAACTATGGGATAAGTGAAATGCACTCCTCGCCATAGTTAGAGCCAACGTGTGACACTGAAGCTGTCACATGTTGGATCTACTGGTCGAGAACTGAGCGATCACATACTGCAGATTGCTCAGTTCTCAATCTTCTCCCTGCAGATATTCCCCCTCTCCTCTCCGATCCTCCAGCGCTGACTGGGTGGGACATATGTGGGAGGGGGCCAGCTGTCAATCAGGCAGCAGGATGGATTCCAACAATATTGTCGGGAACTTTCCCGGCCGCAGCGCTGCTTTATGCTGTCTGTATATAGCGGGCAGTAGCCCGCTCTATATGCTGAGTTTTGGGTCACAGGAGAACATTAGTATATGTGTTCCTGTGAACCTAAAGAGGACTACGGCCAAAAAAAAGTTTGGCCATAGTTCTCTTTCAACCAACATTTCCAATCTCAGGATATTATGCCATTTGCTTTTAGGCATTCACATTTCCCCAAGCTCCAGCCAAATCATGGCTTGTAGTTTGCCTAGTACATGACAAAAGCACAAGGCAGCAACTATTCCCTCATTGCAAGCAGCTATGTTAGGCTGAGACACCTTCGATACATGTGGTCCAGTCTTTAACACTGAGCCACATACTAGTCACATCAATGGAAATCTCCTGCTCAGCTTCACTGTAACTCCTGTGCCTGCCCTGAAACATAAGTATCAGGTATTTCAGACAATGAGAGATTCCCACACATGTGCTGGCAATGGGTAAAACACACACTGCCAGCACAAATTACTTCTAACTAGAAAAAAAAAACAAAAAAAAAAACAACTTACCTAGTATATGCAAAGCTGCGTGTGATCGAGTAGTTACAGCTTTCTGGCCTGTTGGGAGTGCCAGCTCTGGACTAAGTATGCTACATCTTAACTGCATGTCAGGGGCTGATGGAAGCCTGGAGTCTGCTATGACAGCATTATAACACCACAGCTCTCTGGTGCTGGCCTGAAATCTAGAACACAACAGATAAATTAGTATAATGTTGTACTTGCCTTATAGCGCACATTAAGGGTTGCATTTAGATTGTAAGCCCTGACGGGCAGGGCCCTCCTTACCATCTTGTCTTAAATTGTATTGTGACTGTAATGTCTTCCTTATATTGTAAAGCGCTGTGCAAACTATTGGCGCTATATAAATCCTGTATAATAATAATAATTTAAAATCTTAAACCAAGCATGACCTTCCTATGCTCTTGAGCATCATCTGGTGGTAGAAGTGCTGTGCGAACAGCATTCATCCAGAATTATAAATGAGCCCCTTACTGTACCTTTAACAAAAGCAATCATTTTCATTAAAAAAAAGGCACCTAAACCATATTTATCTGATAAAATATATGTGGTATGTTTAGTCTTCCAAGGGCTCATTCAGATTAGGTGGTGTGTTGGCACTATGGGGATGATTTATTAGTCATTCACTCCTTGGCTTCATCTAGTGGTACTGGTGCCCTGCAAATGGAGTTTGCCCAGCTATATGCGGGGTGAAAGCGTTATAAATCAGGCCCTCTATGTTATCATGCATTGTGTTGTGCTGCATTAAAGGTAGTCTTAGTTTTCAATGGGCTGGCAATGCACCCAATTAGAAAAAGAAAAAAAAAAGTCAGATGTACCTTATGTTGAAGCAGCACACCACAAAGCACAGCATTGTGGTGCACTGCAGGGCAGGTGTGTTGCCCACTAGTTTAACAGCGCGTAGGCATTGGGGAGTCATTACTACAACACACCGTGTGACTAATCAAATAAGGATGGTGTATGTTGAAACTTAAAAAAAATGCTGTAAGCACAGACAGAAAAGAACACTACATCAGCACAAGCTTCTGGACTATCAATGGCCCAGAAATAATGATTTCAGAACTGACCTCCAAATAACATCATGGACTGGATCCAAACAAACTCCAAACCCTTGCAGATCTTCTTGTTCAGAATCATTGAATGTAGCACAGCTTCCATCCACTTTATTGATGAGAAGACATTTAAATGGAGGAGGTTCACTCATAGATGCTGGCACAAGACCTGTAGAAGAAGCGCTTATGAGTTCATTGCGAACATAAGTTACACTATTCTGCAATCAATTTGATAGGTTTTGTTGGTCCTACATTGAAGTATGATTAAAAAAAAAAACTGAAGAGTCAGGAGTTCAAACTTAAAAATGAAATAAAATCTATCATGGGAGCGAGCTTGAAGTGGTGGCTACTTTACAACACACACAGGGACCATGCGGAAAAAAGTAGCCACCCTCCAGAAGGAAGGACAGTGTCATCACCAACTCAGGGATGATTTGAGGATCTACAGCTGAGTGATGCACAAAGCAAATTTTATTTATATTAGGGGTACTTAATGCATTAAGTTTTAACTCCTAGTTTAGTGTTACTTTAAGCAAAGAAAGCCTTATTGACAAAGTGGTTACTTCCAGTCCCTCCTGACCGGTCAGATTTGAAGGATATTATTTCATATCTTATGCTCATAGATAAACTAGACACCATATATAACCAGACCCGCAGTCTGGGCCAAGTTCCTCACCACCGAACTGGACCAACTGAAGACCTTATGTTTATTTTACAATACTCCTCTTGGTACCTTGTGGCCAAACTTGATTGGTCATTGGAGCACAACTTGAAGGATCATTGGGTAAATTAGATGTACCCTAATACACCATGTAAGGCTATTGAGATTGAAGATCACCCTTAGTCATTCTTCTTGTACCTTCCATGCAAGTATTTATCTATTGCCCTCATCCAATGTATGCCATGTCCCTGTCATCGACTTGTAGCTCTTTTGAATTCTCCATTGTATTGGCCTTACACTAAATTTTGTTTCATCTCTCTTGTCCCAAATGTTTTAAGTTTCCTTATGAGGCCTTAAGCCTATATTGTTTTTGATGAACATCACTGATCTGTTTTCCAGTGTTATCTATTTAGCAGTGCTCCTCTTTGTATCTTACTCAACGATCTAGACTTGCCACTATTATTTCCTCCTTTCTCATGTGCACTACAAACTTTTTATTTCTTTTAATGTGAAAATCTATTTGCACATTAAACGGTTAAACTGTTTTGTTTCTCTTAATAAAAACAAGATATGCTGACCAAAAAAACTATGTAAATATATTTGTTTTTTTGCAGTCAGCTCAAAAGTTCACAAACATTAGAAGTAGTTCTAATTTTACAACATAACTGACTTTATTTTCTTTTAAGACGTAAAAAGAATACATGTAACTGCTGACCAAGCTATTTTAACAATGGTATTAATATCAGTCTCCTCTTTTAATCTGTAGGTATTTCTGACTTTCTGAAATCACTAAAATTAACCTTCACTCCACTGCATCATGACAACAGCTTTTGGTCAAAGGTCTTCCCAGAATCTTTATTCCCTTACTCCAGCATTTAGCAGCTCACTTGCACTTGGACTGGGCAAAGAGCCTGAGATCAAATTACATGCAGACTAATGTGTGAAGTGTGGCATCTTCATAGAAGGAATACAGATGCAGGTCCAACACAACCTTATAATGAGCCATGTCTCCTAAAATTAACCTTATGTCTGCTCTAGAAGGCTGGATTCAATATAAATGTTCACTGCATTAGGCATTTAATTTGAGAAGATACTTGCACAGAGTACTAACACATGAGGAGATGCCAGTATACAACACAGGGAATAAAAAGGTTCTAGTTAAAGTTGAACTGGGAATAAAAAGGTTTGTAGTTAAAGTTGACCTGAGCTCAAAAGGAGATTTACCAAGTTGCAAGTAACAATTAGAACTGGTAATCACGCCTAAGCAGTGCCTTGGGAAATGTACCTTTTGTCTTCTGTGGTACCCCTGGGCCTACAGCCACATAGCTGTTTATCTGAAGTGTGAGATCCAAGGCACTGCAGCCTCTGCCTGCTAGTCTTAAACTGGCCATACACCTATAGATTATCTGCAGATTTTCTATGGTCAGATGGGAAAAGTGCAACAGATTCCTCCATCTACGCTAAACTGTGTGGATGGAGAAATCTCCCACTGGCCAAGCTTCATTACCTTGCTAGTTGGCTCCGCAGGCTCTCAAAATACCTGAACAATCTGATTGAATGCAGCCATTGTTCAGGTATTTTGAGAGCCAGCGGGGCCAACTAGCAAGATACTGAAGCTTGGCCCAGTGGGAGATCCCTCCATCTACACAGTTTAGCATAGAGGGAGGAATCTGTTGCACTTTTTCCATCTGACCATAGAAAATCTGCAGATAATCTATAGGTGCATGGCCAGCTTTAGGAGATTTAGTAATGTCATTACTGTGCTGCTCACTGTTTTCCATGCTGGAGGCTCCAACATGAGGAAACAAAGCCTGTTGTCACCAAGATGGTCACCTACACATACAGTGCAGAACAAGGCATGGTAAGTTAGTAATGGGAAAAAACAATTAGCTGCAGGTTGAGTGCAGGCAATGCTGAGGACTAGTCTTTTGCCCTCCCTTCAGTTGCTCTTTAAGGCATAGCCTCATACAACACTCAGTG